TAGGCTACCGCATCCCAATGCTGCCTCAAAAACACAAGGATTGGAAAGCCTTGACTCAAGTACTCAGCAAGCTCACCCCACCTTTCCTGATGCAAAGTGCAGTTGAAAGCATGAAGCACTGATTTGCCTTGATCGTAATGAGGAGTTCCTTTCAAAGCAACCTCAAGAAAGCGCTGCCGGCGGCCCTGACGACCTATGAGCAAATGAAGGGTCTTCAAGTTTTCCAAAAACCACGCAAAGTCTGAGAGAGCCTCATCCAAGTTCGCACACCCGTTATGTATTGCATGACACGCACCAGGCACATGAAGAGCATTTGCCATCAGGTTCTGACTTGCACTGGCTTGGGCGGCTTGGGCAGGCAGCACTGGGCCTTCCTCAACAAACCCATCATCATCACACGGCAACTCTTCCACACGAACTGGACGGATAAAGCTGGGAAGCATGGTCTCCGCATATGTCACTTGACACTCTGGAACGCCAATCTCAACGCCCATGTCCGAACACCAACCAATGCAAGAATCTAGATACGCCTGCAAACCATCCAGACTCCCAGCTTCAAGCAAAGATGACAACACATGGGCTCCAACCTTGTCTGAGAGCGCGGTGCGGCCAGAACCTAGAAGCTGGGGCACCTGTGTGTGAAGTTGCACGGAATCAAAAAGCTTCTGAGAATAAAACGCTCGCATCTCAAACAAATGCTCATCCTGTTCCCCCTCGGCTGGCACGGGATTCAAGCAAAGCCACTTCCAACCTCTGACCAGTTCTACTGCTTCAGATTTGGCAAAGTAGCGATACCGAATATTGTATATCTCCTTAGAACCCTTATCAGTAGCATCACCCCAAGGATACCTATACAATGACCCCAACTCTGCTACTCTGGCACGCTGAAAGAGAATCATGGCTACATCCAGCATGACTCTCCCACGGGTCAGCTGACTGCGGCTGGCAAAAGCTTCCCTCACCCAAGCTTCGGCTCCAGGCCTGATGCCTTCTGGCAAACACGCAAGAAACTTTTGGGCATGCACCCTCAGCTGACTACGGTTTCTGAGGTCGAGGCTTGCAAGAATCTGGCGCAAAAAACTCTCGTGCAATGCCAAAGATTCAAAGGATTTTGCATGTTTTGCAAAGGGAAACAATGAATCTCTGTGACATGTCAAATCTTGCACGCACTTCAAGAAGTCAAGACGGATACCTTGCATGACCTCTCCTTCTGGGTCGGGGCAGGAAGCACACAAGTCAGCAAAAGCAGACCGCAAAGTTGCTATGCATCCCTCTGCGTCGCCTGCACACAAAGCTTTTCTCTCAACTAATGCTGATGGACAGGCACCCTTGCGATCAACCAACCACTCAGCTGGCAAATGCTGGCAGAGGCCAGGGAACTGTGGATGGACCCATCTTGCCAAGAGGACTAGATCTCGCCAACACCCTGTGAACAGAAGTTGACCAACAATTAACGGCAGAAAAATGCATGGCAATTTCTTTAGGTTTGCGAGAACTTCGGCTGGCACGCATGATTCCACGGGATTGTATGCATCAACTTTGCCTCCGTGTTGCAAGGAAAGATTCGGCAACAGAACTGACAAAGATTCATCGTCATTATCCCCCCCCAAACTCCAAGTCTCTATATTGAAAAGGCCTGCCTTGTACCTTGGATTCACTTTTGCACCTTTGGACCGCTGAACATTAGCCCTATGCTGAACCCGGCAAGCTTTCACAACCTCAGGCATTGATTCCCAAGGCGGGAAAAACCAAGCATCGTGCACATGAACTGCAAATGCATCTGTGGCCCTGTGCGCATGAAACTCACGCATAAAATGCAGCTCTTCAGTCCAGTGAGGGGTACACATGTCTTCAAAAACAGGGCCAGGGCTGACACATATGAGTCCTCTCAGAGCACAAGGTTGTTCCACGCTTGCTGGCAGGAAGGATACGTCTACGTCAGCAACCTTTGCATGCACAGACTGTGGCACGTTCGGAGGCAGACATGCCTTGCTTGCTGCTTCAAAACACACCCATAACCATTGCAGGTCGGACATACTACTCTATTACTACTTGCGTGTGTACTGCAAAGAGGAATGGTTGGCTACATTTGTGGCGATTGGGGCTCTGTCTCTCTCTTGTGCGCTGTAAGGCTTTAGGGAATAAAATTGCTTTGGAATTATCTGTCGGTTCATGAATTCTGCTATCAGCCCAAAGCTTCTCGTTCTCAGTGCTTCAGCAAACCCTTCAAAATGGACAGCTTCCCTTTTGTGCGCAGCAAAAATCGATTAACCCCTAAACATTGAAGGAAACCTTGGTGCTAAGTTAGCTGTCCTCCCTGTCAAAAACATTTAAGCACAAAGTTCTATACTCTTCTTCTGCAACCACAGCGAATGCGCCTCTCTGAATCACATTGCAAAGACTGCCATACAACCACGAAAGCCTTGAAACACCACAAACCTATTCGTCCCACATGATGCGCGTGCAAATCCAAAATGCTTTTTTTGTATAAGAGTGCAATACCAGAAACCCCTACAACGGATGCATGTTGGCCTTATTGGCCGGTTACCCACACACCGGACAGTGATCACTAGGGATGATGAATCTGCAGAGATGGGAGAACGGACCTGTGAATTCCATTTCTAAAAGGAAAAAACAGTCAGCAACGTAAAACGAGTCGTGTTTTGCACCATGAAAGAAATCAAGAAGCAAACTCTCTAAAATCAATCTTTTCGGAACGAAAACATATGATCGCAGTATTAGAAAATACGGAACCATTAGGGGAAGGGTTTTTTTGCGCACGCAGGAGACCGTAGTATAAATGACTGAGGTCTTGAGCCAACATCCTAGCAGTTTGCCACCTGTCGGCAACATGTGGTCTGCTTGGACCCGTCCCAACAAAATGTGTGGCCCTCCATACAT